CTGTTTCTTTGACCATTTCAATGAAGCTTCTATCGCCTCGTCTTATATTATATTATATTATATTATTATATTGTCTTCTATAGCATATGTCCGCTTGCTCTATAGAAAACAGCATACTGTGTGACGGAGAAAGAAACGAACTTTTACGTATGAAAACGTTTTGGAAAACATCGAGTAGCACAACACTAAACGCAGTTGTTGACGCTGAGCACGAATATAACGTTGGTGTTTGATGGGAAACTTTTTTGTGACTGGAAAGCCGGCTTTAATGTTCAGAAATCCGTTTTCCCTCTGAAGTTAAAAGTCCAATTTTCTAAAGGGAAACGAACTTTAGAAAAGTTGTATGAAGACTTTTGGACACTGAAACTAGGGTAGTGCTATTACCACTCTCTGAGGATGTCAAAACGAGTCGTTATATTTTAACTTATGAGTGTAAGAGAATTTGAAAAAGAGAATTTTGTTATGAGAAAGATGATGCTAATGCGTGATTAGATTTCGCTGAGCACTTTTCAACAGAAAATAAAACCGATAAGGCGAACATATTGGTCTTATGACATGCATGGTTTTCTTGCGAACCTTGCTACAATAATCTCAAGATTACTCAGCCTGTTTTTAGCAAAACAGAGAATAGTTGCTGTTAACATAGGTTCAAAAATATCCATTTTGTAAATAGTTAGTTATAGCCGAAAATAAAAACAGTTTTCAATTTTGATTAGTATCTGCTCTTACTAACTGAAGGTATATCCGTTTCTCTTCGCTAATTCTTGAGATGTTCATTGTTCTTTAACTTTTCCACGATCCATAACACCTATATTATCACTTTCTTGAAGTGCTGATAATCGATGCGCGATTACTAAACACGTACGGTTCCATTTATCTTGCTTCTGCGATTCTTGGATCAGCTGCAGTCAAACATACACGTAATTACACTTACGTGAGCAGAATAGAAACAAACCTGTTCACTACGTTGATCTATAGATGATGTTGCTTCGTCCAACAATGAGATATCATTTAGCACATACAAAAGCTATTTCAGTGAAGTTTTCCGTTTGAGCGGATGTTCCTCATGGACTAATGATAGGAATACAGTTGCTCGCAATTCTCGTTTTGTTTCTCCGGTACCCCAACGATTCTAATATTGTGCATTTTTGAATATCTCACATGCTCATTCACACTCTGAGACAATACAAAGACGCATTCATCTTGCTGTTTTAAACATTCATCTTGCTCTGAGAAACGCTGCTTGAGATCCTTAAAACGTTTTACCAGCGTGTCTGATCGACTGCTCAATTTCGAAGGAAGACAGGCGACCAACGGTGGATGACTTTATTGATAAATTATTATAAATCCATCATAGCTTGGACAATTCCAGCGTACTTTACATTCTAAGTGTTTTAAGTCTGTCGGAGTGCGAAGACTGTATACTACATTCTTCTTCTTCACAATGCCATCAGTTCATACTGTATATCCTAAACGGGCGAGACAAAGTTCTGCATTAATTTTCTTTTTGATACAACGTTGCGATGGAATATCGCAGAGATTGATTGTCGAAACGCTTGGTGCTTTCTAACAAAAAAAGAATAAAGTCCCTGCGATATTCCATCGCAACGCTGTATCAAAAAGAAAATTAATGCAGAACTTTTGTCTCACCCCTTACATGCATAGTAAAAACGTTTTCCATTCTACAATATATCATCGTTATATAATGTAAAATAGTGTAAGCTTTAAAAGAACATATACCATTCGCGATATAGACATTTAGAGATTCAGAATTTTAAAACTTTAGAACTTTAGGAATTTATAGGTTTTGCAAACAAGAAGAACGGTAGTATTTTGCAGTGTTTGTACTTGTAAGTATGCGTATGATCAGATTTATGCTCATTATCGCCGAGGTTTACGGTTATATTTGATAAAATTCACCGAAGAACAGCACAAAGCTGAGAATGAGCATAAATCTGAAAACATTTTACTGTCGATTTGCACTAGTGTCTTCTTTTTGATACACAGACATTTCCGTGAACGAAATGGCAGCGTAATGAAATCGGAGTGAAGTTATCCAATGCATAGTCATCATGTAATGCAGTTACAGATATACAGTTTCGCATCATGAAAATATGTTTTCTGTGAAACTACTTTTCGAATTCACTCGCACACTGCACATATACTGTCAAAAAACCCCAATGTGTACTATAAAAAATTTGTGGAAGAGCTAGGATGCTGTGAGCCGCGGTAATGTCGTGTCACGTTATTTTTGGTCTTGGTTCTAGACGAGATGTTTCACTTTTAGTAACAGTAATACTATGCGCACTGGAAGACTATCCGGGTATTACAAGGTCAGACGGAAAGTAGAGCTTTTTGGAGATGACGACTTTTGTTCATCAGATGGGAAGAGTGCCAAATGTTGCAGTAACAGTTACTTTTTATTTGCATAAGTGATTGTTTTTCAATATCTATTTATGACTTTTTTTGCACTTCCTAGCTTGTGCCCCTCTTTCCTCGAATCTAGTAAGCGTTATAAACTTTCTTTTTACTATTTGTCACAGTTTGATACAAGTTTGACAACTTTTTCACTAGCGATTGACATGTTAATCGCTTTAGGAGAAACAATTTTAAATCTCTAAACTTCGAAATGTCTCGATGTGTAGATTTTGACTTTTCAAGTGTCTAGTAGTGATGAAGACTGCGCGAGTTTGAAAATGTTTCAGTTTTTGTCGAAAGAAAAGGTTAAATTTCTTATGTTTCAACTTATCTGGATAGGAAACAACGGAGTTTGTAAACTGCTATACTCTCTTTTGGATGGAAAGATTTCATTTTCTGATTTTGTGAATATTTTACGAAAAGGTGTCGCAGAATGTGTTAAATAAAGTTTTAGATCTTTTATAGAATGTGTACAGTGGAATTGTCCATAACACCAAAAAGCTGGGTCTCCCAAACGCTCCAAGGTCAGATATTCTTCGGATCCGCACCTGAGTCTGGTTAAGTAGAATTTTACGAGAGGGTTTCTTTTGGTACTATCAACCATGGGCTATGCAAATCTGAAATCAAGAGTTTGGATATCTATAAGGTTCCTCGGTAAATCGTCTCAAAAAACTTGAAAATCATCTCATTTACAAAGTTCAAAACTCTAAGCAGAACGACATGTCTCGCAGCGCTATACGATTTTTCCATTGAAGACCGTATTTGAACTTTAAGACTGTTAGTTAATAGAGGACATCGCCTAGTTTATGTCGTGAAAAAATCTTCACTGAAGTTCTTATCGTCACCGAGAAATGAACGTTCTGATTTTACTCTCGCATGTTCTCGGAACACTTGTTCTGTCATCGGATCTGAGAGGAAAATTTCCATAACGCTTAAAGGAAATGTCCTAGAAAGTTAAACATTTGGATTTATAGATAACTAAGTAGGTTCAATAATTTGAGCATACCTTGAACAAAATTTGAGATGGTCATTTAGCATGCTTCTGTAGCACTAGGTCATATTTCTCATGCACTGAGTCTCAGTGAGCAATATTATGTTTTTCAGAACCACTACTAATCGATGGTTAATTGCTTGGTTTCGAGTCATTTATCAATATAGATGTCTTCTTTCGTGTCAGAACACGATTGCATCTAATCTGCAAGCTTTACTCTATAACGTTACATCTTTAAACAATCCACTTTATTTAAATAATACAGTGGTCACTTTAGCAGACAGTAGTGTTGCTACGTACACTATAATCGTTACCGTTGTTGCAAATGTTTCATCTATACGTAAGCGATGCCATTATACATTCATCGAAAATAAAAACTTTGTTTCTTGTGTTAGTGTCATATACCGGTTCAGATACAATAAGTGAGTATAAATAAGTATCTGTTATTTTGTTCTATTTACCTTCTTTAAAGCTACATCAACCTGTTCGGTTCCAACAAGTTCTACCTGGAATAATACGGGTCGCACAATTCAATTTGGAAGCGCAAATGCTGCTGTCTTTCTCGATTCTTCCGATACGGCTTACATAACCGATAATGACGGTAATCAAATATTTAAACTCTTGAAAGGTACAATCAATGCTACTATAATTGCGAATGCTACTAAGCCGGCCGACGTTGTTGTTGATACAAGTGGAAATGTCTATATTGCTCAAGCTAGCATGCCACAAATTCTGAAATTATGGACCAACGGTACTATATCAACATTTACAAATGTCAGCTATGGCTCGTTTGGTTTAGCTATTGATTCAAGCAATAACATTTATATATCGGATACATTTGCTAACAGCGTACTAAAATTGTCATCAACAGGAAGTGGCAATGCAACGGTTGTGGCCGGTGGAAATGGATATGGCAATGCTAGCANTGTCTATATTGCTCAAGCTAGCATGCCACAAATTCTGAAATTATGGACCAACGGTACTATATCAACATTTACAAATGTCAGCTATGGCTCGTTTGGTTTAGCTATTGATTCAAGCAATAACATTTATATATCGGATACATTTGCTAACAGCGTACTAAAATTGTCATCAACAGGAAGTGGCAATGCAACGGTTGTGGCCGGTGGAAATGGATATGGCAATGCTAGCAATCAATTGCAATTTCCCTGTGGACTTGCTGTTGATGCGAGTGGAAGTCTCTATATAGCAGACTTTGGCAACGGTCGAATTCAGAAATGGGTATCAGGTGCTATGACGGGCACAATACTGATAGTAACACTAGTATCCATATTTGTAACAGTTGATTGTAACAATTATCTTTATGTCAGTAATGGTACAAATATTCTCCGATTTCCACCTAATTCTACGATTGGAACAACTGTAATTTCGGAACTAAATGGAGCATCATCAATGAAGCTTGACTCGGAAGTAAACATGTATGTTGTGGACACCTACCTGTCAATATTCAGCGTTCTTTAATAGAACTAACTTTTAGCAAAATATTTCATTTATTTTTATTATTGTTCAGCATCTGTATTATGTTTTTTGAAAAGAACAACTACCGTTTCAACCATCCGAATAGTAGTAAATTTTATTAAATCACTTTCTGAAACTAACGATATTAAATCTAGAGTTCTTCAACGAAATGATTTCATTAAAAATTAAAACAATACTATATTTTCCATTGTCATCATTCGATAGTCAAATACCTACATGATGAAACTGACATTTTAGTCATGTTTTCCTTCAAGGATGAAAGTTTTTATTTTCTTAGTCAATGTTAACGCTGTAATATAAACAGCTATTTTACCGTTAATATTACATATTTATTAAGTGGTTATGACTCTTTCTCCAATGATGTACAAATACCTAATAAGTTTAATCCTTGTTCAATCAGCTTTTTTTCAACTGCTTAAAAGTCAACAAAGAAATAATCTCTTAATTTTGTTGAAAATGAAAAAGAACCAACCTGAATGGAAAAAAACAATTTGATTATTATGAAAGGCAAAAATGAATCGTATACATACTGGATTTTGTAGTTGAAATATATTCTCAATTAAACTAGTTGATATAAATGTTTCTTTCATTTGATTTAGTAAAGGGACATTATTAATTGTAAAATAATTCACATAAATACAGAAAAACGAATATGATAATAAAAAATCAAGATATAATTACCACACCTAATATTATTAGTTTTTGAGAAATTGGTTGTAACAACATCCGTTTCAGTTTCAAGCTATAAGATACAAAAATAATTAATAAAAAGAGAAACAAAAACTGATGCAAATTCAATTAATGCGACGGATGATGCAGAAATAAAAATTGAGTACTTTTCTGTAAACGTTTTCTTCAAATAAAATTATATTCAAACATATAGTTTTAGTGGCAAAACATGGAGAACTACGCTTCCTGCAAAACTCTCTATATCCGACTTTCAGATGCTGTTTCATTATCTGAAAAAATAACGCAGGACTGCAATGGAAAGGATAAATTATAGTTCTTTTTTATTCGACATAATTGAGTATTTAGTAATGTTTCTATGAGTTATGTATCGTCTACATTTAATTAATCTTTATCGAAAAAAATTTTGACAGTTTCGATGCCATATGAACAAGCGGTCTAGCTGAAAAAATAGCCATAAATCTGTTGAACATTTCTATATACACGTTTTCGTTTAGTTTGTACACTATTCAGAGAAAGGTTACTCAAAAGTTAAAAGTCACTAAACTTTTGACTACACGTCGCAGTTATGCGTTTTACATGTCCTTGGCTAGCGTTCTTTTTTCAAATAATAAAACAACCTTTGAATATCGGACATGCAGAGTTTTGTAGAGCATGCAACTCTTCATTTTTTCACACGAAAACCATATTTCTGAACATAATTTTATTTGAAGATAAAGTATGCGATTATTTTTGCACTGTCAGTTAGTTTTTTGAATTAAGACAGTCTAACACCGTTAGAATATTGAGTGAATCAATCCTCCATTAAAGTATCAACTGACAATGAACGTTTAGGGCTTTTCTTGTAAATTCTATAACTTTGTAAAAAAAGGTCGTGTAGAGCTGGGAGAGGTCCCATTTTGATCAGAAATGTGCGGGCTACAATTTTGCTTTATTAAGAAATGTTTTGGGGTTTTCCTGGAATTTTCGGAAAACCAGTTTTCCAGAAAACCGATCTCTGGAGGCCTATCGATCCGTCTCATGTTGATATTCGAAATTAGCATGATTGACTACCTATAGTCAAATTTCAGCGAAAATCCATGCTGTATGACGGAGAAAACGCACAAATAAAATTTAATGGTTTTGGACAGGAGACTCTCCAACGAAAGGCTCACTTTTTCCGAAAGAAAGAAAGTGACAGTCGGGAAATTTTTTATTTCCTGATCCCTGATGATACTAGTATATAGCCCGACTAAAGAAAAAACTTTCCAAGCAAGTTTATTTTGTTGACTTTATTTAGTCAAACCGTACAATACCAGCGCAATCAGCTATATCTAAAAACGCTTAAAAACCTTCTAGGGTTCGAAGTTTAACCTCTCATGGAACGAGATCTACGCGGTCAGATAGCCCTTTTAAGAACGAGCGAATGATATATAATAAGTCTAGTTTGAGTGAATTTTCCATAGAGATTTTCGCATTTTTAACTCGCGGGGCATTTTCGCAGTAAACTGCACTTTTCCTGGTCTAAAGTCGAAACTTTAGGAAACTGTTTAATATCATAATGTAAAAACATTGTAAAAAAGTGAAAGTCAAATGTCCAGTAATTTGGGAGATATCAATAAAATATTTTTAAAAAATTTAACGGGAGGCGTCCCGCCACCCGTTTTTTTCCAGCAGTTTGTGGAGGACACGTCGGAGTATATGTCCCAACAAAGCTTTCGGTTCCCAGATTTATAGTTTTTGATTAAAAAAATCTTTAAGTTTTTTCCGGATTTTTTGCCCTATTTTTAAAACTTCATTTTTTCATATGAAGAGTTGACTCTAGCGTGATTCGATAGAGAACATTAATTTGTATACGGAGAAACCCTTTTCATTCGTTCCCGAATGAAGTTTGCCACAGAAATTTAGCTTTCGCCTTCCCGAGGAAACTTCAGAGCTAAAAGTATTTTTTACCTCGCCTTACGGGTAGTTTCGCTCGAAGAAAGCATTTCGAAGCAAAATTCTGAGTGCAAAAGTTGTTCAGAATCGAATTTTGGAGTCACTGATAAGAGAGCTTTTCTTAAAATGTTTTGTTTTTGATTTTTAAATTAGAAATAGGAAATTTTAAAATTTTAAAAACCCTAAAATTTAATTTAAAAGTCAGAAACAGAAAATTTTAAAAAAAGCTCTCGTCGCGGACTCCAAAATTCGATTCTGAATAACTTTTGCACTCAGAATTTTGCTCCAAAATGCTTGGTTCGGGCGAAACTAGCCGTAAGGTTAGGTAAAAAAATCTTCGGTGAGCCAGAAAGCAGCGATATTTTCAAGTTTTGAATTTTTTCTTCAAGCCTTCCCTGGTTGTAGAGGACACTTCGAAGTGTATGTTCGAAAGTTTTTTCGGCTTAATGAAATTATTTGGCTGAGAAAAAAATTAAGTACTTAAACAATATTGTTAAATTTTCGACTTACCAAACTTACTGAGCGACCGAAAACGAATTCTAAAATGTTTAAGGTAGTCCATATTGTAGCTCGTGAAATTCTCTGTCAGATGAGGTATTGCTTGAATCTTTTCGTTGCGTTGCTATTTTACAAGTAAGACTTTATGCTAGTAGAGTAGGCTAAATTAACGTTAATCAATACTAATAGCCAATACCAGGAAGGAAAGAACAATAATTCTTGCATATTTTCTCGTAATAAATATTCTCCACACATTTCTCTATCGATCTAGGCAAGAACCAAGCTTTTGTCATGAATGGAGGATGGACATAAATTTTTTAATAACAATCCCTTGTTCAAAAATTTAACAATATTTTTTAAGTAATTAATTTTTTTCTCTACCATATAATGTCAGTAAGCCGAAAAAACTTTAGAACATATACTTCGAAGTGTCCTCTACAAACTGGGAATGTTAGAAAAAAATCTAAATGGGGGATTTACATGGACAAGCTTTGGTTGAACACGTTGATTTACAATTACAACCTGAAGTACAAAACAAACTCAAAAGAAAATTACAAAATTGACAAGTATGAAAAAATGGCTAGATTTATAATAACAATTTATACATTCAAATATAACAAACTAATTAATTAATAAGTTCGTTTGAAACA